ATCCCTGACCCGCTTTGGAACAGGCTACTGGCTTCCAAGACTGCAGGGAAATGAGTTCTATGCTTTTTTGAATCACTCCGTTATGATAATAAACGTTCATTTGTAAATTATTTTGCCCTAGTTCTGTTATGGCTGGTTTTTAATTAGCTTGTCACAAGTTATGAGAGAAAGAAGCCTAAGCGATCCAAGACTAGGTTCCCTAACCCTCACTCATTGGCTCGGGTGTCATCTAGGATCGGAATTTTGCTAATGGCACCCTCAGAGTGGCCAACACCAGGGACACGCATGCAGGATCATGTGACCCAGAAACGTGACCAAATCCCTCAGTCCCCTCACATGGATCCATTGTGTCTTGAATTTCCTTAAGGCAGGGAGAAATGTGTAACAGAACAAAAATGAAGATTGTGGCTGAAAACTGAATTTTTGCATAAAAAATTACAACAATCCTGTCAGGCATGGTAGCACATGCCTATAATTCCAGTACTTGGGAGGCTGAGGCAGGAGGATCACCATGAGTTCCGGGCCAGCCTGGACTACATAATGAGATGCTGTCTCAAAAAAGAAAAAAAAAAATTACAACAATCTTTTTTCAGATTTAAATAACATCTACTAAATTCTAGTAAATATGGAAAACAAAACACTTAACCAAAGTGTTTCCTGTTAAATACCATGCATCTATTTTGGTCACCACATAGTGTTCCTATCCTTTTGTGTAAATACTGTTTAGCAGGGTAGTGCTGTATCGCTGCAGACACTGAAAATGAACACGGCCAGGGATGACGTTTGTATTCCAGCAGGACAGTGTCACATAATTTAAAAGACACTTATCATTTGACAAAGCAGCATGGGGAGCACCAAGAACACCTTAAGGATCCTCGCCTTCGGGTGCTCACGGCTCAGGGACAGGAAGAGAGAAAACCGTAGACACCAAGCACAGACGGGAGTCACAGCAGTGATGCCGGCCGCTCTCGCTGGTCAGAGGACAGCACTCTCAGAAGAATCTCAAAGGACAGAAGAAAGCCAGGCCTAAGAGGGAGTTTTTCAAGAGTTGTTGGTCAAGTAGCACGATACCCAGAGTGGAAGAACAGAAGCACGAAGCTCCTGAACCACGCAGTGGGAAGCGGAGAAGGAGAGGCGGGAAGGCAGAGGGATGTTGAGAAAGAAAAGCAGAGGACACAGACAGAATCCGCTCTTCCAGATGCGTCTTTTGACCACCTGTGACTTCCACCCCAGTAACTGAGGGAGAGGGGACCGGCCCCAGGGACCCGCATCTCCAGCATCTTGTAGTCAAGGAAATGGGCTTTCTACTCCTCAGCTCCCGGGCCATCAGGAGGAAGCAACTAAAACAACTACACGACAGTGACCTCCAGCATGGCCAGTATTGCTCAGCTAGGGAGGCACAGGGCAAGCTCAGAGGCAGTGACAGGAGGAGCCGTGGAGCTCTCCAGGCAGCTGGCTGGCCACAGCAATGGGAAACAACCAGCTCTTCACCCTGCTCCTTCTCCCAGCTGTGTGGTATTAGACCGAGCTGCGGAAAGAGTCACTGGCATGTAGATGTATTTGTAGAGACAGATGAAGGGAAAGGAAATAAAAGAGTAAAGGAAATAAAGGAACAGGAGTAAAGGAAAAGAAGCTAAAAGCTTTGGAGTGAAATTCTACTTCAAGAATTTTTCATTCATAAAAATTATACTTTTATATAATCTAACTCTTTCTATATATTCAAATTACAGAAAATTAGCATTTAAAAATTACCAGCAGTACCCTATTGTCTGACCGAAAAGCAGCACAGGCCTAATGATGCTGATTTGAAAAGGGTGATAAATTACAACATTCATAGAGACATAACAAAAGATATATTCTCCTGAAATCACTAGCCACACAGAAGAGAAAAAACTTCTTACTTATTTCCATTAAAATAAGCTTCCACATTTAGGATTATTATTTCAATACTACAACCTATGAACTAAAACCTGAAAAATTCACATCACCCCAGGTCTGACCTGGTTTTCTTCAGGGTGCTGATTAGAGGTCAGGGATGGCGAACCTCCTAGCGCTTTCAGTGATACAAACAGCCTGCAGTGGCACGCATGCCACAGGTTCGCCACCCCTGTATTAGAGCCTCTCTTTAACTCCGAATTCACTGCAGTTAACTAGGCCCGCGAAAGGCCTCAGATTTAAAGCAACTACATTAGACACCCAGAACCAAATTCTTTACTAATGTGCAAATCTCGGGCCTGAGTCTCAGCCCGGCCGTTGATGATACATTCTTTAACTTAAAATGCAACCTAACAGGCTATTTAATATACTAACACGAGTGTGCGTCAGAGATTTTAGGCCTTAGATAAATTCAAAGAAATCGTTTGATGTGCAGGACAAAATGCCTGCAGGGAAGGAAGACTGCAGATAGGGGAGGGACACTGGTTTCATTTCCCAAGCCCAGGTCTCCTTTCTAGCTGGTTTGGTCATCATGTCCTCAGTGGAAGGATTTCCCTGAACTACTAGCACAAGCTTTAAACATCCAAACAGGAACCAAAGTTCACAAAGCCAAATTGTTGGGGAAAAAAAAATGTTTTTAAGCATTCCAAGACTTGAGATTTTGGACATCAGCAAGGCTGTTGTGTTCTCTGTTTACAGGAGCAGAGCCGGTGCAGATGAGGGCCCAGCCAACAGTGGAGGTTGGGGGCAGTTTCTGCCTAGAGAAAGGATGGACCGAAAAGCAACAGCCCCAGCTGGCAAAAGACAAGGGAATGCAGTGATCTGAAGTTTAAAAAAGATCATTTTTTAATTGCTCTGATGTCATTGGTGTGGAGAAACAAAATTCCACAACTTCTTCTCAAAGCTAGGACCTTTCTCGTAAGTCAACATGGAGGGCTCTGGAGGTCCAGCCTGGGCTGCTACCTTACACTGGCAGATACATGTAACTGTCAACCTAGAAGAGCAGTTTTACATGGAGGTTAAATTTTGCCCACGGGGGACACTCGGCAGCATTCCTGAGGGTCACAGGTGGCAGGGCTGGTGGCCAGCGTCAGGGGCAGAGGCCAAAGGCGCAGCTGAGCATCTCTGGGGCAGGAACGGGCCTGCAACAGAGAAATGCTGGTAGGATGCCGCCCACAGCGCTGCGCTATCACAGGGCCCTTCTGCATTCCGAGGGGTTAAAGCCCGCTTCTGAGGCCTGCTCCTGCGCCTTCTCTAACCTCGGAAGGGCCAACACCCGGACCTTATCCAAGACTCCTCTGCCAACTGCTTTGCACACGGTGGCTGCTGGCTCAAACCAAGGACCACACGAAATACACTGAGACGATAAATGTCACACCGCGCAGGCAAACGAAACCACTCGCAAAGAACTTTTCCAACCTCCTTTTGCCTCCATCCTCCATTTTTGTAGAAACAGCATTCAGTTCATAGCAGGAGCCTCTACACGGCCCCTGGTCAAATGGTGTGGCTTCTACGCACTATGCTCTACAAACTCAAAACCTCCCCAAACAGGTAACTCTTATTCAGGCAAAAACTGAGGTCGACAGTGTTTAATTCTAAGAAGGATTTATGCGAGAGGCCGCGGAGGGTGAAAAAGGCCACCCAGATCTTTAAAATGCAAAGTTATTTCATAGTTTGCTCGCAAAATGACTCAGACCCTTTTTACTTTCAGTCACATGCCAAGTTTGGTCCCTTCCGAGCCTGCTAGTAATGGAGAAGGAAAAAGCCACCATTTTTCTGCAGTCATTAAGCCGATGCAACAGACGCTCATTGGAATTGCGAGCGCCGTGCAGCAATCTCCTTTCTTTCTTTCTTTCTTTCTTTCTTTCTTTCTTTCTTTCTTTCTTTCTTTTTTTTCTTTCTTTCTTTCTCATTATAACTGTTACAATAAACAGCAGTCGCTGAAAGCGCAGATGAATATTGGAAGGAACCTTCCAGCCACCGAAACACCTCTGGGCGGGAGCGGAAAGCAGAACAAAAGGGAAGCGAATCGCACCCCGGGTCCCCCGACCTGGGCTGTGGGCGTCCTGCCTCCTGGCGCACGTCTGGGTCGGAACCCTCCCATTTCCCCAGTGCACCCCTGGTCTAGCCCTTCCTGCCTCTCCCGACAAGCGGGAACCTGCGGGTTCAGAGAGAGGACTGCGCCCGGCACGGACACCCACGCGGAGTGTGGCCGGCGAGCAGCTCCTGCACAGGGTCCCGGCCCCCGAGACCCTCGGGCCCCTCGTTGCGG